GATGGGGACATTGATGTGGAACAGAGGAACAAGCTCTTCACTGGGAGTCAGGAATATAGGCTATCCTCATTACTATTATTCATTAAGAACTATAACAACACATGGGGCACCTGGATGGCTCAGTCATTAAGCATCTGCCTTCAGCTCAGGTCATGATCCCAGGATCTTGGGATCGAGCCCTGCATCAGGCTCCCTGCTAGGTGGGAAGCCTACTTCTCCCTCTCCCACTCCCCCTGCTTGTGTTCCCTCTCTTGCTGTGTCTCTCTCTGTCAAATAAATAAATAAAACCTTAAAAAAAAAAAAACATTATAACACTCATTATCCTTTACTGAGTGTTTTCTATATGTATGGTTCTATGTTACATCTACTTCCTTTTTGTTCATTCTAATGACTCCACTGCCTTATAATGGCATCATGACATCATGCCCATTTTACTGATGGGTAAACTCAACTTCAGAGAGGTTGAGGGAGTTGCCATAGGAGGTCCCAAGCTGGGAAATAGGCTATAATGTCCAAACCTCTCCTTGCCCCACCGAGCCACCCAGGCTATGCAGAGAGCTCCCTCACACACCGTGTCCCTGTGTGACCTTGGTAGGTCACATAGTCTCTGGACTTCAGTCTCCAGAATTCAAGCTTCTGTTGGATTGGCCTTTGAAGCAGGTAATCTGTATGAGGTCCTGAATTTCCAAAATCATCTGAATCTCTTCCGTAACTTTCACCATTGGGTCCTAGGAGAGAAGCAGTGCAGCGCTCATCTCATGAAAGGTACTCAACCATGCTCGCTAACTGAAGGAGGGAGTGAGTGACCGAATTCTCTTCCCTTTGGGAAGGATGTTTTCCCCTCCTACTACAGTCTTTAGCATTCCTTTTCTTTAAGCTCCTGGTGGATTTCCTTAAGGAAGCATTCTATGTGTAAACCATCACTGTGGCACTGTAGGATATACAAGATGAATAAAACCGCCATTCAGCTAATAGAGCGCTAATATCTTAATACAGCAACTTGGTCATTTATCCAGTTAAGAGTAAAAGTGTATGTTTCATGGAGGTAACATTTTTATAGGCTTGCCATGAGAGAGAACTTGTGTCTGTGATAAACAGACAAAGAAGTGGCATCTGGGGGTGCCTGGGTGGCTCAGTTGGTTAAGCATCTGCCTTCGGCTCAGGTCATGATCCTGTAGTCCAAGGATTGAGTCCCACATCGGGCTCCCTGCTCAGCAGGGAGTCTCCTTCTCCCTCTGACCCTCCCCCCTCTTGTGTTCTCTCTCTCTCATTCTCTCCCTCTCAAATAAATAAAATCTAAAAAAAAAAAAAAGAAGAAGAAGAAGAAGAAGAAGTGGCATCTGAATGAATCTTGAAGGATATTTCATAATGTATCAATTGGCTATCCAGCTTATATCCACAGAACTGGAGGACATGTTTCATAGAATAAATAACGGTAATTTGTGGATAATTCAAAAATCCTTTTGTATTTAGTATTTTGGCATATCAAACAGTTCTCTGTATCGAATTGTGTTAATCAGGCTAATATCAAATTAAATTATGTTCAGAGAATACAAACTAAGAGCACTGGAGAGCAAAGAAGGAACAAGGTAAAGCCTCAGGAAAAGGAGATGTTGTGCCTAATAGAGAATTGAGACTCTGCTCTTCAGGAGAAGCTAGTGCTTGTTCTCACGTGCCAACACGTACTGGTGGATGGCAGTTGCCTAGAACAACGGTGCTCATGTGTGTTTCCTGGGCCACCCATTCAGAATTGCCCTGAACTTGTTAGAAATGCAAATCCTTGGTCTCCCCACCCCCACACCACCCAGACTTGCTGAATCAGAAACTCTGGGGGTGGGCCATGTGTGTTTTAATCAGCCCTCCAGGCTACCCTTGTGTTCATTCAAATTTGAAAACTATTGGTTCAAAGGACTGTGTTGGATAAAATTCTGATGCTGTGGGTCGCATAGAAATTATCATTGTACTGATAAAGAATGTCCGTCCCAGGCAAGGAGTCAGGAGTGGGAGCATGTATGATGGTCGTTCCGATCCCTGCCTAAATCAACAGTGCCCACTTGAATGCTACCTGCCTTGAGGGGTCTCTGGAACATTTCCCTGATCACTAACATAATGCTTATGAAAATCAAGCAGAAATTTATAGAGTCACCATGTAGAAAGGCACACCATACCTCCAAGTACAGAAAAAGAACTGCCTGGGAGAGAGATATTTTCTCAATAATGATGAACTTTCCCAGTAAATAAAAGAAAACAGACAAGAACAGTCACTACTGGTTCCAAAAGATAGAGGTGCTGGAACAGCACAGTTGATGACCTAGATGCCTTACTAGGTATTTTATTTGGATCATATTGAGTTTACACAAGATAAAGCCAAAGTCATATGATGTTTAACTCTGATGAAACTATTCAGAGATGACAATGGCTGGGATGATAGTACAGATGACAGTTTCTCTTTTGTCTCTAAAAGGGCAAAGGTATGGAGCAGAAACATACACACCCCATTCTTCTGGTAATTTTCTGATATGTGCGATGCCTTCTTCATCATCTACTAAGTTTACTGCCATCTACTAGGAATGTGCAGTAAGGGCATCATTAGGATATGTCAAGGGTGGTGGAGCCAGACCACTGAGAGAAAGATCCAGAGATGGTGGGTCCACTAGAAAGAGAGGAGCTGGTTTGTAGAAGTAGTCCAGGGTCTGCACTCATCCCCAAAGTTACAAACTATTAGCGGAGTTCCAAAATTTAAAACAAAACAAAACAAAACAAAACAAAAACCATGTTTTTTTAAAAGGTTTAGAATACTTTCTTCTTTGGAAAGTTAAATACACTCTCCATGGAACACACTTCCCACTCCAGATAAGCTTTCACAGAACAAGCTCGATGAAGATCTTAGTTTGACAGAAGCACCCATGGGACACTGTGCAAATTGAGAGCAAGAGTTGGGATTTTTGTGGGAGTTCACTTCACACTGGTTCATGACTGTTGCCTCAATGTTACTTCAGGTGTGAAATGTTACCTGGTCAAATCATTAACAATAACATAAGACATGGATTTATTAAAATGCAAGAGTTTATAACATGGACAAGAAAATGAGAAAGCTGGAAGGCCAAATGGAGGAATTCTCCCTGAAAGGAAAAAGTCATGGGAAGAATGAGAAAGAAAAGCTAGCAGACATTGAGGACAGAGGGAAGGGTCTAGGGGAGACACTCAATTCCTTAGAATAGAATGTCTTTCTTACTAAACAAATTTTTTAAAAATACCATAAAGAAATCTCAAATATATTTGCCTGTAAAGAAATGTAAAATCTCTGAAGGATAAAAATAACATAAAAATAAAAGATAAGCAAAAGATTGAGAGAAAAAAAAAATACTTGTAACCTGTAACAAACAACCATTAATGCTGAAAGTTAAAAGAATTAAAAACAGAGAGAAGAAAAAGTTGAAAGCTAGACAGAAGATAGAGAGAAACTCACAAAATAAGGCAATATGAATGACCAGACCATATTTGTGATCGTGATAATCCACAAAGTACAAATTAAAACAAGGAGAGTCAACACCCAACCTATGAGATTGCCAAGAACTAAGAATGGGAAAGTAGATACTCGACAGTGAGGAAGTGGGGAAATTGTAAACATACTGTAAGAGAGGGCATATTCTGCACCTCCTAGAGGGCAATTTGCCAGGATCTTTTAAATTTAACAATGTGTATCCCCTGGATCTTGACTTCCATCTCCAGGTTCTGTCCTAGCTGGTGAAGACAGTTAGCTTTCATGAAGCGCTAGAAGCCAGACATAGTTTTAAGTACTAAAGAAGTTACTACATTCAATACTCCCAATAGCCTGTAACAAAGGTTAATATTACTATCCTCATTTTAGAGCTGAGGAAACTAAGTCACAGAGGGGCCAAGGAACATTTCCTAAATCAAACAACAATAAATGGAGAAGGGCAGGATTTGAGCCCAGACAGTCTCGTCAGGCTGTCTGCTCTTAAGCACATGCTAGTTTTTGTAGGATATAGTCTCATCTGTGTATGAAAACATACTCGAGGTGTTCATCACAGTATCATATATATATTCCTAAGAAGGAAAAAGCATTGTCAGTCGAGAAACAGATGAACAACATATCCTATTATGGAATATTATGTGGTATTTAAAAGAAAGGAGATACATTTACATAGAAAAACATGGTCAATCTTGAAGACATCTTTAGTGAAGCACAAAAAAAGCTTACTGCAGAATAACACGGCCATTAGAGTATTTTAATTAAAAATATACATGTGTGGGCGCCTGGGTGGCTCAGTTGGTTGGGCGACTGCGTTCGGCTCGGGTCATGACCCTGGAGTCCTGGGATCGAGTCCCACGTCGGGCTCCCTGCTTGACAGGGAGTCTGCTTCTCCCTCTGACCCTCCCCCATCTCATGCTCTCTCTCTCATTCTCTCTCTCTCAAATAAATAAATAAATAAAATCTTTGAAAAAAACTGTTTAAAAAAAATATATATATATACATGTGTGCACATGTGTGTGTGTGTAAAGGCACAGAAACAGAAAAAGTGAACAAATCAAATCATGAAGGTAACAAATGTTATCCTGGGGGCGGGGAGTCCAGTGGGATTGCAGGGCAGGAGGGAGATGGAATTCAAAGGGCATTTCCATCTACGTGTACGTTTGAGGGCTTCACACTATGGATGCATTCACATCTTTTCTTATGCATAATTAAAGTAGAATCAAAGGACCATTTTCTTGAGCAGTTGCTATATGCCAGGCATAAAGCTATTACCGTCGTCTTATCTCATTTAAAACAACTTTATGTGATTATTACTATTATCATTATTGTTATTAATTTAATAACAGTAAAGGACAGTAAGATTCAGGGGATTTAAATACTTTGCTGCAAAGGCCTTGATACCTAAGGGGTGTAGATTTGAGCTCCACTCTGTTGCAGAAGATGGGAAAGGCGGCCTAAACACGTAGAGACAAGAGTACAGACGCGGATGTGCCAGGCTTACCACAGCGGTCCCGGATGACCAGGTTCCGGCCTTCCTTCAGGTGGATGGTGAGGAGGTAGGCAAAAGGACTGGGCAGGTTACTCAAGCCATCGCCGGCTTCCCCAAACATCTACACAGACAGAGAAGTAGGTTAAGTCTGCTGTTTGGCGACCGAGGGAGAGAATTTCAGAGCCAAAGCAAAAGTCACTACAGAGGCAAATCTTCAAGCTGCATCTCCCACCCCCAAGCTTGATGACCTGGCTACAATGATTTATTAGCACATCCTTCATGTTTCTCCCCAGTGGGATTTTTTACCAGAATTCCCGATCATATCTCTGCAATCTTAACTCTGCCCCAACATAATCACACACGTGGTAAGCCAGTATCTGACATACCCTTAAGCTCAGTGATTTCTGGTAGGATTCTTTCTTCTGGAACTCAAGGGGCAGCCCAGAGGGAGGGAGTAGCACCTGTGGATTCCACGTGTGTCCCACAGACATGGGTCCAGACTCAGATGCAAAGCGACTTCCTCATTTTCTCCCCTTTCCCACCAAACCTTTCCACCCTGGCACACCTCCTCTACATTTCTGTTCACGACCATTCCACCATCAGCCCGGAGCCCACACATCCGTCGGGTACATACCCTTCCCATGTCCACATGTGACACACTTTGAGCGCTCTCCCCTTTGCATACTTTTCTTCCATTCCCTGCCCCCACCGTGGTGTCTCCTCCACTTACCCTCAGTCTTGCCTCCCCTCAACATGGCTCACTTCCCTGTCCAGGAATTCATCAACTCCTACCGGCCACAAGGTCGACTCCAAGTCCATTTTTTAATATTTATTCAATGAATCCAACTACAGTGTTGAAATAGAACTTTGCACTCTAGTTCAAATTTTTGTCTTTCCAAAGAGAAAGGACAGATAAAGTAATTTATCGTTCACTTATTGGACATTCAATTAATCGATTTTGTGGCTGGGTCTCCCTTGACAGCCTTCTTTTGAAAGTTTCCCCCATCCAGGTTTCAAAGCACTTCCGAACAGCTTTGTCTCCTTTACCGTCCCACTCAACTGCCTAGCTGCTCTGTATTTTTAGAAAAATTGGTCCCAGACTGACAGATCGATAGACCCTGAATTAATCTTTCCCAGCCATAATGTGCAAGGCCTGCCTTTGTAGGTGGATCCGCTTCAGCATGCTTTAAAAACAGGCAAAGAAATACAGATCAACACATTTGCTAAGAAATTATATTTACTCCAGTGTTTCTTTTTAAGAAACGTCACTCACAGATTGTTCTTCAAATTGTTGGGATGTCAGAGAAGCATTCAGATCGCCACTTTCACATAGCTTCTGTAAAAAAAGAAAAAAAAAACCAATCCCGCTTTCAAAAGGCAAAATGGTATCCGCCTACAGAGATAGATAGCCTTTATCAGGTCATTCGCTTTGAGTCTGCCATCTGCATGGTCAATTTCGAGTACGCAGGCTGCCTTCCCGCAGACGTGGCCAGTGTTGGTAATAACAGTTGGATTCGGTAGAGCCCCTCTGGCTACAGCCTCTGCCAACTTAGTCCTCGATCGGAGGACGGATAAGGCTGACTCTGCTCTACCACCAGGCTGCTCTGCCATCCCTCATTCATCCAGGCTCTAGCAGGCAGGCAGCATGAAGTGGGAGCAGCTGAGCCCTCCCACCATGTCCCTCCCATGGCGGGCCTCCCTGGTCCTCTGCCACCAAAGAGAAGTGGGCAGATCACATGGCGGAGACCTGGGCTCATCGCTCAGGAGGGAACATTTCAAAATGCGATCTGGAAGACCTTCCTCCCACCCTATCTTCCAGAGTCTGTACAATCACCAAGCAAAAAGTAAAAAATAGAATTCTGAACGAAAGCTCAGAATGGGAGGGGTGTGGGTTTCCTAACTGAAGGTACCCATGAAATGATCCCACAGGGCAAGGAAATGGTCGGTAGTTAGTATGGGATACAGTAAACATATCCACTGTGCAGATTTTAGATGCACAGATGCAGGGTCCAGGAGAGCTCTCGGACCCCTTGAGGTGTTCTGGGCTGGAGATAAGGACAGCTGTCTGCATGGAAAGGCAGAGTGTAAGGGACATGAATTAATGGTCTTCCCGCATTTTGGATACGTTCCTGTCGGGCTGGTGCCTTACTTAGCCAGGACTAATTTATTGTGTGAGAAACAGGGGATTTCTCCCTCCAAACAAGGCTGGGTAACTCCAAAGTTTCAGGCAAACTCAGGCAGGCAGTCAACCTGCAAAGACAGCTTTGATGACCATGAACCTCTGAGAGTAGACATGAGGACTAGGAGCACTGTGGTCACTGGTCCTTCCCATCCACAGTGCTCATCAGGGAGGGCCAAACACAAGTCAGAGATCCTGCCTGGAGGGTAGGCTACCTTCCAAGACATGAACACACACACACACACATATTGTGTGTGTGTGTGTGTGTGTGTGTCTCAAGTAGAGCTTCAGGCAGCAAGAGAATCTGGGTTCCCAAGCAGTAGCCCCCAGGAGATGCAGGGATGGTGAGGGGTTGCAGACAAACTAGGGTCCTCTGGTCCACCCCCTCTGCAGGCAGTGACATCATGAAATGCTATAACCAGGCAGCAATGGTCCCTGATCCCAGGATGGTCTGAAGCCTCACACGTCCTCCCCACTTAGAACGGAGGCCCCATGGCTCCTGCGTCTGTGGTTCTCACACAGGCCTCTTTCTCCACCCGTCCCAGCCCTGATGTCCCTTGACTGTGTATATAATTCATCTTCTCATTCATTCACCACGATCACAAGGGTGATTTCAGACACTTTGACCTTTCCCCTAGGCTCCCAGCACTGCAGCCACTAGAGGCCCCTGGCCCTGGAAGGACCACTGCTGCCCAGGCAGGAAAGGAGCCCCAACCCTCTGTGTGGGAGACCTGTTAGCAGACCGGAAGAGAGGCTCCAGCAGGGCCTTCACTAGTCACCCTCCTCTCTGGCTCTTCATACCTCCCATGTTGCTCTATGGAAAAACACATCCTAGGGTGGTTGGACAGGACTATCCGAAGACCGCGTTAGGAGGACAATCTGAATCTCACTCTACTCCCCCAATTTCAATGTTTGCCCTCATGCCTTTTACACTGCACACTATTATTTCCTGGAAGCTTAGCAACTCTTCTGCCTGATTTACAAACCCAAGAGAGACCAGCCACATCTTCATGGGCAGAACCAACAAAAAACATCTCCTGTCTGATCCTCTGCAGCCTGAAGACCCATTGGTAATGTCTCCCATTTTGCAGTCTCACAAACCTCACAAACCTACCAGTGCTGGGCTCAAAGTTTCCATTCAGAGTGCAGAGTTATTAGCCAAAGATCCAAAGATTGTGGTGGCCCAGAATCTTCTATCACCAAGGAGAACAGTGAACGGATAGGGGCTTTAAAGCGTCACCCCTCAGAGGGCACACCAAACATGCTCTCCCCCAAATTGGCCTCTCTGTACTTAATGATAACATTAATTAAGGGACAAAATGAGTCCACACAACCACCGTCACTTACACGCTATCAAACATGAGCACAGAGCTCTTATTCAAATATGTGATAAGTCTTCCACTTACAACAACATGGAAATTAAATGTGAAGAATGACATTAATTCAATATTATGGCTGGTTTTACTCACAGAAAAGTCACAGAACTTAAAGTTATGGTTCCCACAGCCACCGTAACTGTCACACACCATATATACGCACCAACGAAGGAAAGTGATCACATAAAGAAGAGAAGAAATGCTACATGGGCACCGAGGACCAAGTTACGGCTGCTGGGGGACACATAACCTTGACTATTCCCTTCCATTCTGCATAGACTAAGGTATTATCCACTGAGTAGAAGTTATATGATTTCACTTCTTTGTAAACCTAGTAACTGCATCAATGAGTTCTTCTTTAAAAAGAGCACAGTTATGACTTTCCTCATAGGAATCCCTGGTATCCCACAATCACAAGGATATATTTTTGATATTCTCAACAAGCATAATCAAGCACTCTGTTTTTTATTTGACTTTTGAAAAGTTAACACACAAAAATTGTTGTATAGAGCATTACAATTATTAACCCATGTATAGATTTGTGGGACCATGACAATAATCAGGACAGAACAGTTCTGTTCCCTGATAGCACTCATTCATGCAGCCCCACTGGGGTCCAGGCTGTCGTCCCGATGTAGTTTCACCTTTTCCAGAATATCCTGCACAGGGACTCATACTGTATGCAAATCTGACATCTGACATATTTCACTAAGCACAATGCCTTTGAAATCCATCCAAGTGGTCCTCTGCATAAATCGTTTAAATCTTTTTCATTGCTGAATACTATTCCACTGAATACATGAGCCATAATTTATCCAACAAGTGCAGGTTTCAAACATTTCAACCAAATGATTTCCAAGGACTCAGGGAAAGGTAAATAATATTGAATACCATGAACACTAAATAGTTTACTATGACAGGGGCACCTGGGTGGTTCAGTAGGTTAAGTGTCCAGCTGTTGATTTCGGCTCAGGTCATGATCTCAGGGTTGTGAAACTGAGCCTCGCATCAGGCTCTGAACAGGGAATGGAGTCTGCTTATGATTCGTTCTCTTCTTCTCCCTCTGTTCCACCCCACCTCACCACTCATGCATTCTCTCTCTCTCAAAAAAAAAAAAAAAAAGAGAAAGAAAGAAAAAAGAAAAAAAGTTTAATATGACAAAACAGTCTAATTACATAGAAACATTAAAAAATACAGCACCAACATTTTAGCATAAAAACTAGTATAAGGTTAGCCAGCTCTCACACAACTCTCACTGCTGCTTTTTGGGTGAGTGGTTTTGTGCTTTTGGTTTGGTTTTGTTTTTAAAGACACAGACTTTGCATTGGTATTTCCTTTCTACCTAAATAGAAATTGGTGGGAAGGTAGTATATTTTGCATTCTCTTTAGTTGAGAGTCCTCTCTCTGCAAGAATGCAGGTTTATTAAAATTCAGCAGGATATGGGAAGATATGAACATGGATGGGCCAATGATATAAAAAAGAAAATCTCCCCTACTCACCAAGGATCTTAAAAGCAAAACACAGATGAGAGTAAACATCTTCCTTTTGTGTGCACAAAGCATGATCCTGTACAAATACCACCTCCCATGGGGCTCCTCTGAACACTCTCACCATGAAGCACACACAGGAAGCCAAATTATAAACCATGTGAACAATCGCTGGGCATTTAAACCTCAATACAAGGAGACATAAACCCACATCCAGAAAAGCTAAGTGAGTAAAATGCTGGCTGAGAAGAGCACTTCTACAGTCTCTGAAAAATACTCAAGAGTACATCAGTATAGCAAAGAATACATGGGATACAGATTTACTTAACGACTGTACCCGCATCTAGGTTCCCGAGAATCGGGACACTCTGGATGGCAGCGTTCATACACACAAACACCTACAAGACAAAGGAAGTAGCAAAATGCACGGAGGAGATGGGATGGCTGGACAGACCCCAACGCAGAGCCTGGATACAGTGACAGAATCAAAACAACTCACGTGGCGATAAGAGGACAAAATTAAGACGTCTGTTGAGAAAAATTCAGGTCTACCAAATGGCTGAGTCTATGCCTATTAAATTTATACACAACTTTTAAAGGGGCTATTGACTGTACAATAGTGGGCTACCTATTTAGTTCCCCCACACACACCCCCAAGATTGTTCTCTTAAGTGATTACCCTGGGATACTGAGATGCAAAGTAGAAGTCACACATGCGTGTGTGTGTGTGCATGTGTGCATACATATATGCCCTATTCAATCACGTCAGTATAAAGCAGTGGTCAGCAACATCCAACCCATCACCTGTTTCTACAGATAAGGCTTAAACTTTGCAACACAGTCCTATCTATTCATTGACATGTTTATCTCTGGCTGATCTCACGATACCGTATGGGGGCTGGGGTGTTGCAACAGAGGCTTGTGGGCCACAAAGCTAGATATATTTATTATCTGGCCCTTTGTGGAAGAAGTTTGCCAACCCCTGGTATAATCAACCTTTCTTTTCACGCTCGGTAATATCTGTCCACTCACCTTGCACACACTGTTTACACGCTTGTTACCAGTAGGTAGCTTAAAAGAATAATGGTCCCCTTTATATTTTCTTAGCACTTTGTAATTTACAAATATACACATGCTCCTGTTAGGGGCCCCCAGGCTGTCATCAGTATCACCAATGTACAAATAAGGAAGCCCAAGTGAAGAGGATAATTGGTTGCTGAAGGGAAATTAAAGAGTTAGGCTTTTACTGGAGTGTCCTGGGTCCTCCACTCTTTTCACTGTGCCCCTACCCAG